TGCAGTCGGAGTCGAAACGAGGGCATTGTATCGAGGGTTTGGAGCAAATCTATCTGTCAAGAGTCGCTATGTACTAATATCATATTCATGTGCCACTCTAGCCTGTCCTGAGACTTATTCAACCTTCATTAACTCGTACTTTTCCTTCCCTGCTGTGCTCTAGGGACTTCAAACTCTGCTCTGCATGTCTCGCTCTAAATCGACATCTTTTGCAGCAAGGAATTCAATTGGGCAATACGACTCCACGTCTTCATGTATTCAGTTCTGGAAGCAGTGGACCATGTCACTTTTTGAAAGGATCTGATCCGACCCAAACTGTGGAAATGGATGATCCACTCACCTTCACCAGATCAGATCCGAGCTGTTGACGATTAAGTGTTTTCTCGATACCACTTGGATCTACAATAGCTTCCAGGATGGAATCTGACTTCATACACCGGCTTGCAGAAAGTTTGGCCATAATAGACACCTCCACGTTTCGCCTCTCAGTAGAGCAAATCACTCAGGACTCTGCAGATTGCCGCAAATTGCAACATAGACATCCGATCCTTCAAATCACCTGCTGATCGGTGGGCAATCCAGCTTATGGATGCCTGTCCCACCATGAGTCTGAAATCAAGAGGAGGTGAACAGCCTGCAGACTTTGAGCAGGCGAAAGAAGGGTTACACTCCTCTGTTGCAACTGATTCAACTGATTGTAAGAACTGCTTCCTAATTCACAAACTTTCGGACGGCGACATATTCTCGTCTCCTGCTTAAAAGTGGCACCAAAGAGTGACAGTTCTTGTGAGGACACCTGCCATACATTCCGAGGCTGTGTTGTGTGCACAGCAAGTGCTCTTCAGATATGACTTGAGCTGATTGCAAGTCCAAGTCCACAAATTTGGTTATCCGATGTATCTGGCCCTCGTTAGATTAGATCTGTAGTCATTGTCCAAATTGTTTTATGCTATGATTCGGTAGTGAAGGTTTTGATGAGCAATATGAGCAGCTAGCTGACCCTGTGTCAGCGTGTTGGTTTGGTTGGAACCCTATGGCTATGGCATAGATGCTACAACTGGTACCCATGGTTCGGCCTGCCTTCTTACTCTTGCCGTTCTCCCCATTAATGAATCCCAGTTTGCACACAAAACATGAAAATTTCAGGGCCTCGAGCGGGTGAGATGTTTAGCATACTGCCATGAACATGTCTTGATGAGTCCCATTCAAAAATGTAGAAACCAAGACGGACTTGATTGGTGCTACAAAGTTCTTCCACACTGACAGAATCATGGATCAGTCAAGTATTTCTCTCTCATCACCAAGAAACATTTTTGGATGCTGACAGTCACCCACCCACCCACACACACAGCCCGCAGTGCTCTGCGACGAACATGGCTCTCGACAGAGGAACGCTGATCTGATTTGTTTGCAGTTCAATGATTGCGATATCCTACACAGGCAGGCTCCATTCCATGGCTCGACGAGACTCCACCTGTTCTGTCAACTGATCTCAGCTTCTCAGAACCGAGCCGACTGCCGTCACTTAGCTCCACTCGCTCGTTGTCCATACTTTGCCTGTTGACTCTCTTCTCTGTGCTCTGTATATGGTCAGCAGAGTGCACAAGGCCGAGCGATCGAGCTGAACTGTGCTTTTCACTCGAGCCAAGAGCTCTACGTGCACAGCTTACGTCTGACTCATCGAATAACGAACGAAAATCACGTCGAGACATCGTCGAATGTTACTCTTACAAACTTAGGTTCAGAGAGTATTTCTGCTCAGATTTGCAGCTTGCTGCAGAGTAGGAACGGCATGGACGAGCTTCGCCCCGAAGAACGTCGAAGCATTCTTCTCGTGCCTCTCGAGTCTTCACTGACGCTAGAGGCTGAGCAGATTTCCCGAACTTTCAGAGCTCTGTGAGTGCGCGAGGTCTATCAGAGGAGAGAATCGACCAGCTGAGGGTGAAAAAGAAGCGACAGTTTCAATTTAGATACTCGTGTAGAAGTCTCATCGATCAGCTTGCAAGACCCACCATTTACTGACACGCAATCGGGTGGATTCTAAATTCTGGGCTCCAGTGACGAGGAGAATCACGATTTGTCAAAAACAGTCTCGCTAAAACAATCGACTAGCCAATCCTTGCCATGCATCCATCCATCCATCCAATCAATCCATCCAATCGACATGCCAGGAGATATTAAACGGCTGGCCGCATAGATCTGAAGACGACTGCATCCGAGCTGCATTCCGAGGCAGATATTGTGTACCCCGTATTTTGACACTGGATCGAACTTGAAGATCGATCACCTCGAAGAAAGTTCGTCCTCTCGATACACTCGGAAAAGCTTGCATCAACACTGAAGAATATGTTTAGGAGGTTCATAATAATTTCCTAAATAGCAAGGTTAGGAAATTGTCGATATACCGGAAGTTCTGATCATGTATGCACTTGAAGAAGTTGACAACAAATGGACGTGGAAGTATGAGATGCGGTGCAGATGATGAGGATCGAAGCTTTTAGAATCTCGAGAGGCTGAGCAGGAGGAGCTGCATGCAGGATTCAAGTAACCGATCTCAGCTGGTTCACTTGATAGTTCGAAGCAACCATCAAATCAGAGCAAAGTGAGAGCTCTACTACAGATGAAATGTCACTGTACACGAGTGTGCGGTGAACATTAAAGGCAGGCAAGACGCGACATGCTTGAGAATTCGAACGTACAGTGAGTATGTATATACAAGAGCTGCACATTAAATTATGTACAGACAGACAAGAGTCAAGATACTGAACCGTAGTACTGAACTCTAGTCTGCAGTGAATTCGATCCAAACACCTGGGATGTTAAACTTCACAAAGTTCCTCACTTGTACCTGAATTCAGTAGCCACCTTCTATCGTTTTGGATTTGGATTCAGGACAGTGGATATGCACACAAGATCAGTAGTTATCCACCAGTCAGAATCAATTGTAGAAATGGAGTAAGGTCAAGCTTGGCCTTTGGTCACAGGCACAGGCATTCGCAGGGTGGGCAGAGATGATGTCATGATATGGAAATTTTGAAATACAATTAATGCAGCACAATCGAAACGATACTGTACCACTGGCATTCATGTGGCGAAATTGAAGTTTGGACCCGAAGCTCATTAAGGCAGGAAGTTGACTTATGCTGGACGAACTTTGAGGAGAGCGCTCAGCTCGTTAATTGCAGTGTCATCATGGAGTTCAACAGCAGAAGCTAACTGGGAGCGAGTGCAACAATCTGTAGCCATGGTCACGAGTCATCATCATGGTTCGTGTACGGGGGAGGGCGACAGAGCGCGCAACTCCCTCTGCATTTCTGGAGTCCGGACCATGCGTCAACGAGAAACGATCGACTGGCTATACCAACTCCTGCTACGGATTCAGGTTCGAGGATTCATGATTTAAGGCTTCGGGTTTGGAAACCGAGGGACAATGATTGTCACCACCAGTAGACGACTCGAATAAGTTGTGGTTCTCGTAAGAGCAAAGAACGCAGTTGTGGGCATGAGAGACCTTCAACAAAGGGGGAAGGCTACGCCTCAAACTGACAGACGAAGTGACCTAGCAGGAGCCTCGCGTCTGATCAGGAAGCAAGAGCCTAGTTTGGGTTTGGGAGCCTGTACTGCAAAGATGAAGTCGAGAGGCTAGCTGCTCCTTCAGAGCACGGTGTGCGTCGTGGTAGGGCCAAACCTCAATCGCCACTAAACATAGCCGACTGACTGACTGCATGGCCGAGAGTGTGGAGAAGCCAAGCAAGAACCAGCTGCTTTCCTTGATTCTTGCACAAAACGCAATCAGTACAGAAACTCCATCTCAACCGCTTTCTCCATCTTCGCTGGAAACGGATTTCATGGCTTTTCGCAAAGCTGAACTCGTTGCATTTGTTCTGGTCCATGTGCGTTCCATCTGTCTAGAATCGATGACACATGCGCTTTCAGTGTCAGATCTGCGGCGCCCGGCACTGGGAAACTTCCATGTGGGATACCGGAAGCACAGTACACATTATCTTGGAAATCTCGCTTTCTGAATCATCAAAAGCCATCCACTGTGTCAACTAGGAGCTGCACGATCTGCTTGCATTACGCGTAGACAGAGTCATCTTATCAAAGCATTCATCTGATACTGCATAAATGCATTGTTTCTTTAGTATTAAAAGATATATAATATATAATTCGTACACAAGTCCTAAACTTACCTTGATGACTCGTCGTTCACCGTTTCGCGTACAAGGCAGGACACGAAAGCTGGCGTAGGTCATCCGGGTCCGTACGCTCTAGCGTCTTGAGATTACATCCACATGTGACGATGTCAATCAATTAGTGTTCGCAACCCTCATTGTACACAAGGACAGCAAGTTTAAGGGCTGCTTGTTTTTAGTATCAACACTCTACGTAATGCGAAAGTGCTAATCATTTTGGCGCATCAGGCGGCAACTTGTTTGTATCGATATTGTTGATATAGCATATGTACTGCTCGATTGAACCAACAGATAACTTATCGAGATAAACAATTCGGTCCGATCAGCATAGTTTCAAGTATTAATGTGTCCCAATATTTATCTGTTTTTTGTTAGTCACCATTATCATAGTAGAGTTAACTGTCATTAAAAATTGTTTTTTCGCAAGTTCGTTAGTAATCTCCGAAAGGCATGACAATTTCACCTGTCGTGGTGTTCTTTCAGCACATTTTGATGGTAAGGATATTCGTTGGGCAAGGCGGAGTAACTCATCAATTCCATGAGCATGTCGACAAAAGAAATATCAAGCACGGACAGGTACATACCATGTACTTTCCTAGCTTGACCTGCAACCAAGAAACTCCCTCAAATGTGTCCGTGGAAGCATACACAAGAAAAAATCCAGACCACCGAGAGCCTCTGGGACTGAAAAAAGTAAAGGAAAGGCGGAAAGTAGTCCACTCGAAAAGTAGAATACTTACTCAGACAAAAAACAGGGGAAAACGGCAAGTCCGCCAAGCAACTAGGAGAGACTACACAGGATATAATCAGAAACAAGAATCCAAATTCACAAGAGAAATATGCATTCGCCAGCATTCTACGAGGTGCTGGTCGCGTTGATTCTCCTTGATGTACGCATTAAAATAAGAGCGAGAGAGCTATGTTCGTGATACAAAAGGCTTACAACGGAAGGTGTCGTGTGTGTGATAAGTACAACACTTTTCGACAGATTCGGCTACCTAATCTTGATAAGGAACGCATGTATGACACACTACATCCACAAGCGATCTACATATTTATTGGCCCCGTCAAAAGAATAACTAAAGAAGGCAAGCAGGTCCTGTACAATAAATCTAGGTACAAACTGCTGCTTGACTCGTCACGCTTCATGACTAGATGGAGAAGATCAGTGTTCCGTCAAGACTTCCAGAATGACATGTTTGGCCATCTGAATTAAATCCTTTTTGGACCAACACAATCAGACAAGGAAACCTTCTTTCCCAGGTTACAGTATTTCCTTCTGTTCAAAAGTTCAGATCAATATCCCAATGGAGAAATCACAAAGACATGGGTCTTCATCTTGCAGAAAGAAATTGTTTACTTGTCTGACGGATGGATTACAGGAGTACAGTGGTGAACAGGACCAACACCCTTGCGCCTCCAGCACAAACTCTCTTACGGTAGAAAAGTACTCCCATAATATGAAGTCTCACGCCAAATACTTATTGCAGTGAAAACTTTGCCCCGATGGTAGAAGACCTTACCCTACTACGGTACTTCTTCCGCAGCTTGATGGCTGTATGCATGCTGCTATGAACACGTATTGTGAGGTTCATGTCGTTGAACATCTGCACATCGCACATCGGCAACAGTTAGCCAACAACAACAAGAACGAAAACAACAGAACCAACCAGTTCCGCAAAACGAACACGAAGGAAACTGTATACGCTCACGTGTAACGTACTTTAATAGCATCATCCATTGATTGAACCTCCTTCAGCAACTTGTTTCGATTCTGCACAAGAATCGCCGCAACACAGAAAACAGACAGCTCCTCGTCGCCATTTTTCCCTAACAGGGTGCTCACGGTTGGCATCCTGTGACGGTTTTTTGTTAGGAGGGCTCCAGGTCTGAGGCCACAAAATGGGCTTCTTGCAAGGAAATTTCCTCCAAACGTGCTTGAATTAGGGAGTGCACCCTCGGCAGAAGGATAATCTCGGTGCGGACTGCAGCCGTACTGTGATGCAAAAGACAAGTGAGGGGTGTCATGGTAGCCAGCGTCATCGCCTCTTCTGCTGTCTGGATTGAAGAACGGTGGGGGTATACTTAATACAAGAGCATCTAAGCAGTTATACTCCAAGGCCCAGGCCATGGCTTGGTTGAAGTCGGCGGCCCACATCATTTCCCATAAGCTGAGTGACTCCCCAAATGAAAGTTCTCGTCGAAATAGTACTAATAGCATACGGAAGGCAAACAAAAAATTGTCCGCCCCGATTGCAGCCAGATGTCTATGCATTTGAGGATCTGCCACCTCCAGTATCTTGGGTAATGCTTCCAGTTGCTTCATTACACCGACGGGGCCCTCCATCTGGAAATTTTGCCGCTGTGCATATCAAAATAACTTGCAACGTTAGATGGATCCCACTGGGCAAACGATTTCTATATTACAGCTCATGTATCTAAGCATGGGCAACTGCAACGAGACCTAAATACAAAGCGATTTTTGAAAGCCAAACGAAAGACACGAAATAACCTACAACAAACTCACCACTCGTCTGAGAAGGCTCTCGAAGCACCAAAATGCATCGGCATCGTCTTCAAACAAAACAATGAAGGGTGACAATAAATCACTCATGCCTGCACTCAAAGGTCACTGAGTCAGTATATCCACAAAAAGAAATGTTCGAAAAATCGGGAACTCGCAAACAGGACTGGCAGGAGAGAAAGAAATTATATCTCACCTTGACAATAGCCAGTAGCTGGGTCTATCCAGGCGTAAACTGCAAGTATGTCTGACATGCGGGCCATGTTTTTGGCGTCCCCATAGAACTCAAGATGTCGGTCGGTCCGCACAACATCCACCACTGCATCGGAAGACTAAATCAAAGACTAGTGTAGAAAGTTTGCAGCAAACAATCTTACAAAAACTCGGATGGAACAAACTTACAATAACTCAAGAATACGGAATGGGTAAACTGGGTAAAAGAATTCAGAATGAAGCACTTACCAATTCTGTGCAGTATCCAGAGCCACTCTGCGACTCTCTCTTCGTTAGCATTTTTCCCAAGAGCAACCACCGGATCGGGCAAGTTTTCAGGCCCTACTGAGTCTTCTTTGACGGGTGCGTAAGCTTCCTGTTGCTTTCTGCTCTGTCTAGTATGTACATCCTGTATCAACCCTCGTGTTGAGTCCCCGATTTTCATTGTCCTTTCTTTTTTCCTTCTATCTCTCACGAGCCTGCTTTTAATCCTCTTCATAGAACCCGCAGGCCAACTTAGAGGTCCTACATCAGTGGCAAATAGCCTTTTAGGCTTATTTTCAGCGGCCGTTCTAATTACATCCCTACTGCTCCTAAATCCTGGCTCAATTTCTCCTACACTATCTGAATCCACCTGCCCTGGTAAATGTTCTCTGCCAAAACTGGTCGACGTGTCGTCCAGACCATTGTCTCTGGCGTCTGTTTCATCCCGCTCGGCAGGACCAAACAAATTCGTCACTGGCATCCCATACAGATCCTCATGGATGTCGACTCTCGTCGGCTCAGCAGCTTCGTGGCTTGGACCAGTATATTTGTACACGGAATCAAACCCACCTGACACCTCGATTTGAGAGGTCCCAAAATCACCTGAGGTGTCAAATTTTGGACTGCCAGGGTTATCATCTACCGTGGTACGCAAAACAGCCTTCTCTTCTGAAGTTTCTTTAACTTCTAAGTTGATCAGCTTAGCTTCTTTCCGGGCACTGTCTTTAGACATAATTCTAACATCCATAACTTTGGAACCTACAGTGTAGGCTAAAGTTCCTGTACCAATACTTGGATGCATCTGCTGACATTGCTCGATTAACTTTTGGTAGCGTTCCCTGAAAAGATCCAACCGTTCAGCCCAGTTAGAACCTTCCAATTCCAACTTCAGCATCTTCAAAACAACTGATAGTACATAGCTCTTACGAAAGTTACGGTGACCTGTACTCATCTACAACAAGTCGTGAACCTCTAGTATGAAGCATCTCTTCACTAGAAGCGTTAATGATCAGCAGCTAGGGTCTTCTTTGCACGGAGTAACAGAACTCCCCTTTGTGAAATCAAGGCCATGGTCATCGACCGCAATATTCACAAGATTCAAGATCTTTTGTACAACAGAAAATTATGCACCATATAAGTTGATAGTTACTATCTTAGAAATAACAACCGTATGAAACGTACCTTCGTGCTGCACGAAGCTCCTTCCGATATTCGGTTGTAGTGCAAAGTGCATAACAACCAAGCAGGAACTCCCACACTTCGGCACGAATGGAGTGGTCCACACCCTGAGCAGCATTTCCAAGAACTTTAGAAAAGAGCACAATCACAAATAACCACACTGAAGAAAGGAATGATCAGAGTACACATGAACATCTATATAGCATATCTAGTATGGAACTTGGCTCAACAACTCTACATCTACCACCGCGAGTGGAGGCGCTGACCTCGGCCTAATCAGTGTCAGCACTCATAACTGGAAACATTCTCTATTCAACTTCAAAAGCAACATAAGTGGAATACTCTTGTGCTCACCCCTAACGCGATACACTTCAGAAGCTTCTGAAAGCCAACAGGCCTGCCTTCGTGATCGAATGCGGCCCGCCATTTCTCTGGCTTCAAGCACTTCGCAGCACTCTGTAGACAAACATGTGTTCAAAATGGTATTAGTTCTTCACTACACCTGAACGGAACAGTGTACTGGAAAGGTAAGTAGGTCCATTACTTCTACAAACAATAATCACCCGTCCTAGCGCGGAATCGACCTCCAAGAGGTCCATAAATGACAGCGTCCAAATACACAAAATTTACGTCCGTGACGCCGCACGTTGATCTACGGCGGCAACCTAGTGAAATTCATACACAAAAGGCAACAGATTCTGCACCACATTGTACTCTTTAGCAGAACGCTGCAATCGATTGTGCAGTCAACTTGATCGGTCGTGCTTCGCACACAAGGATAAAGAAGAGATCAAGAATCTGACCTTCGGGCTACGTTGCGGGGTGAGAACAAACGCAGGTACACTCGAGTGGTCATCCTGGGGGACGGTGCCCGCTTTGGCGGATTTTGGACCAACTGCGCAAGACCATGGTGATGCGTCCCAATCTGCCGACATCAAACTCTAACACCTCGTCTACCCTTCTCGCATATGGCTTCACTTTCATCCAGAGCACAAAAAGTTCAGACACACTCAACGAGTTCTCAAATAAGGAGTACACACGGCGTCTGCCAGGTATTTCAGCTTCAGAAAACTATGAAGTTACAGCGCGTCCGTTAAAACCCCTGCCATTCTTGCCGATCGATTTGCAAGCGCCTGTCACAAAGCATGTGGCGGGGACGCCACTTCCCTCATGAAATCGCTCGCTCCCTCTTAATCGGCAAAACTGCAACGGGGTCCCGTCCAATTTTAGATCTGCGGTGGCTCGCGTTATCACTAAACCAGCACTCGCAACTCGACTCTGAACCACGCTTCAGTGATCGTATCTACTGGATCACCTCACCAGCTCCATGCCGAAGCATAGCATAAAACCCCGAGACCAAATCCTTTCCTCAAGCCATTCTCAGTGCGTCCGCCTGGAGGGCCCCTGCAACTAAGCAAGAACGAATCCACGCTAGCCAGGTGCAGACTAAAACGTAACTCCAGTACTGCGACTTATTTCCCTCGCGCACTGCCCCCGTCTCCGTGGCCGCTCTGGAATTCAATGTCTTCCGCGGCGTGGGCTCGAGAGAGCCGGGGCTCCTGTTTATGTTCGACAAAATCGCTCCTTCTCCTCCGCCTTCTCTCCACTTCTTGGTCTGCCTCTTCCGTCTGCGCTCGCAATCAACGACTTCTGAGAGGCGGTATCTCGAACCTCTCACTCTCTCGTCTCTTCTTCCTCCGCTGCTCCCTGCTCTCTGACTTTTCGTCGTCCGGGATTTCCTTCACGGCATCCACATCCCCCGTCAGGCCAGGCTCTGTCTCTCTCACTCTACACGGCAGCACTCCGGTGTCACGCCTCGTCTCGTCTAGTCGAAATCTCTGTTTGCACTCGTCCTCTTCTCTGATCTTGCACTCTAACAACTTCTCTCTCGCAACTCTCTCTCTCTCTCTCTCTCTCTCTCTCTCTCTCTCTCTCTCTCTCTCTCTCTCTCTCTCTCTCTCTCTCTCTCTCTCTCTCTCTCTCTCTCTCTCTCTCTTCACAGGACGCTCGCTCGCTCGCTCGCTGCTCAAGCCTTTTCTTCAACACTTCAACTTCCGTCCTGAACAACGAGAAAGAAGAAATAATAATCAATGTCCAAAGCTCTCGCTTACACGCTCGCTCGCTCGCACTCCGCGCGAGCCACCACTCGTCCCGTGATCTCGTCGCCTTACGTCGCTCTCTCCATCGCTCGCTCGCTCGCCTGCTCGCTCGATCTCCCCTAAATATATCTCAATCTTGCTGTCCTAATCTCGCCTCCCCTCCCCTCCCCTGCCTCCCTCCCTCCCTCACTCCTCCTGCCGCTCCTGCCGCTCCTCCTCCTGCTGCATCTGCTGCTGCTGCCCTCGCTTCTCCCTCCCCTCTCCCCTCCCTTGCCCCTGCCCTGCCCCTCCCCTCTCCTCTCTCTAGCCCCTCTCGCTGCCCCTGCCCCCGCGCCTCTGCTGCAGTCTTTCACGAACTGCCGAGGGGCTCTTGATTTTCCGCTTCCGCTTCCGCGTCCGCTGCCCCCGGCCTCCTCCTCCTCCTCGCGCTCCGGCCGATCGGCGCGCCACCCGGCCCCACCCCACCCGGCCCGGCCCGGCCAGCTCGAAAAGATCAGCCCCCGCTTAAGCCCCGAGCGTATGGATGCTCATTATAATAATTTCGCCACTCGATCGATCGATCTCTACGTCGCGAACAGGAGCCCAAGGCCGGGGCCTGCGTTGTTGGGAGGCGCTGAGCTGTCCGATCGCGCCATCGGACGTCGCGCACGCCGCGCGGGCCGGGCACCCGGCGCTGCGCTCAGGTGGCAGGCAGGTGAGCGCCGTGCCGCACCGGCACCAGCCGGTCGGCAGAAGCTGCTGCGCTCCTGCCTGCTGTGGCGCATGCGTGCTGTTATCGGTGACCGTGTAGAATTTATTAATCCCCCACCCCCACCCCCTCCCCACCCCCTGGCCTCATCCCTTCGCTCACCAGCCCCATCCCCTTCCCCGTCCGTCCCCGTCCCCGTACCCTCCGAGTTCCGGTCCATCGATCCGGCCGGAGCGGACTTTCTCCCGCTAGACTTTCTCCCGTCCGGTCCAGCTCCGAGCTCCCTCCCAATGACGACACAATCATCGCATCGAATTCCCGGCACCGGCGTCACTTTCCGAGGAGATTCTGATGGTCAATGGAGTTCTCTCCAAAGCACATGCTCGGGCGTCGGGCGTCTGGGCCTCGTACAGCGTGCCACAAAGAAAGAAAGCGAGCGAGAGCGAATTGTGTCTAGGGTTTCTCACGGGCTCGCGATTCTGCCAAACCCATCGCTTTCTGTTCGCGATTCTTTTTCGAATCTTAGTTGAAGGGTCAGCCACTTTTTTACGATAAATTTATTGCATTCCCGATGCCGATCTGTTGTGCTGTTGTTGCCTCGACGATCTTTCCCCCGCCCTCCTCCACCTGGCCCCTGGAAAAAAAAGATGGCGATGGCGAATTGCTCACGGAAGTAACTTGTTTAGAGCTGCTTGGAACAGCGAGTGGGGAGGGGGAGCTGGTTGACGTATTTTCTGTCTCGAATCCTGTGAGGAGCAGATTTAGAACTACATAGTGCCCGAGGGATCTGCGAGAGCAATCTTATGACTCACAAAAGTATATCTTCTAATCTGCCTACAAGTCATTCCACCTGTGCTCGACTTTTAGGGGAGTGGAATAGTTCGAAAAGGTCAAGTCAGCACGCCCAAAAAAAAGCGTTTGCGGTGGCGTATTTTGGTCAGATTTCTCGAGAGGACATGGTTTTTTACATAGCGCGAAAAGAGCAGTTTGTTGTATTAGGTCGTTGGAATATACTTGGCCGCATAGTGGTGATGATGATAATACTACGACTCGAGTTTGCTTTTGTCCACAGATCCGCCCGCAGCGCGCAAAGGTCAAGAAGCATTCGCCATTTCTTCCCCGAGAAACAACAACAGCATCCCAGCATATGGCGACCTTTAGAATTCAACTTTTTATCTCTCGATCTTGTAGGGTACATGCACATTCAATTCAGGCCCGACGAGGATCGCATTTATAAATTCCATATCTCGGTGGTCTTACGCTGGCTCTCATGATCCGAAGGGAGCAAGTCTTCATATATCCTCAAAGGTTTGAATTCTCTTGTTATTCAATGCAGAATTAAGGCATGGGGAGCTAGGCTTGGTATGATCCCAAAGTCAGGTCAATTCCAATCGAGTAGACACAGCCAGGGGGGAACATCGTTTCACAACCTTGTTGACGAAGTCTCAGGTAGGTAGCTGCTTGGAAAACCCAATGTACAGATGAGATGATGGTCGTGAATCACAAAAGGTATGTCCTCGTACTCGATCACAATCCAATCCACCTGAATTATGGACTCGCAGCTGTAGAGATCTGCTTGTCCTCCTTCGCCTCTTCGAATATGCTAAGTTGTCAACACTTAGAAACCAGCGCCATGGGTTAGAAACAAGTCAAAACAAGCTCAATCGTGAATGGAAGAGAGGACATGTGCATTGCAGGCGGGGCCTGGCCTAGGTGCCATGAAGTGATGATAATGAGGTAGCATCAACTGGAGCTAACTACTAACAAACTGCATCTCCCCAATCAGATCAAGGGTGCCACATCCGAACACCAGCTGAAGTCAAAGCACGCAAGTTGTCGCAAAATGGAGGCCTCTTAGTGATTGTCCGAACCAAACACAAGCTGTTGAAAAGCCTTCTGACGACTAACATCACACTCGCCTGTTGACTGACTCGATTTATAATAAAAAATTAATTCTACGGAAACCCTTTGGCAGTTGTACACAGGGCTCCTTTTCAGCAAAAGGCGACGCGCAAATGACATGAATACATCATCTTCCAAGCATCAGCAACTTGCCAGAGTACCGAAAGAATGACACAACCATGAATGGTCACAGCTTGAGAACAACACTCACCGATGCTGTTGTTTCTGCAAGTTGCACGGAAGCCAGTTAAGCTTGAAGGAGACATGGAGTCACGGAAGTTGGACAGATCAAACGCAAAGTGTGCTCGCCACAACCGATGATCATATAATATAGTACAATGTATCCACTGGAAAATGGAATTAAACTGCACGCTTAGGAAAGGTTTCGAGGTTCGAGGCCGAGTGCATCCTGGCAAATGTTTTTGGCCCCAGACAAAAGAGCCAGTTGACTGGGCTGGGTCGTTCATGCCATGCACGAACCCGAACGCAGGAGGCAGACGAGTTCTGGCGTCGGCATATCCACTCGGTGGTTGAAGGACGAGTGAAATCTCGAACTTAATTACTGCCATGGATACGGACTGCGGCCTGACGATGGTGAAAGTGAATGAATGGGAGGGAGGGAACAAGAGGAGGAGGTTCGTCTCTCGCGCATTTCATCTGGCACACGTGAAGGGGTCGTCGACTTGCAATCGAACCAGAGATAAGGTGATATAGAGATGCGGGCTCGACAGGAATTTGTCATATTGCGAAGAATGAGAATCCACATGGACCAGTGGACCACAAATCGGCTCAAAGGCGAGCATCTTGGACACGATGAATGGCCTGTTTGGACCTTTGTGAGGAGTTGTTGGACGTTGTTATTATGCGAGACGGTCCGCCAAACTGGAACGGGGGCAAGGACAAGAAAAGGGCACGATGGAGGTGCTTCTTAAGTTAGCATGGTAACTGAATTCTTTGGACAGTTCTGGGGACAAGGGCATTAAACTCTTTGGGGTCCGCGCATGTCGCCGGAAGCTTGTATGGGGCATTTATATGCACTTATCCTCGACGAGTGCAGTCAGACAGGTGGTCTCATACACAGGCTCTATTTATTTTCGTGCACAGGATTATCATGTAATTACTCCCGTTTTAACCTCAGCACAGGAAGCATACAAATTTGGCGTCCGAGGTCGAATTTGGAGATCTTACACTGTCTGAAGAGATCTGACCGCAATTAGCCATCACCTTCTATTTGCGCACCGCTGTCCAGGTACGGCTTTCCGAGCCTTTTGCTTTTGGGCCAACCAGCAGCATCCACCGAATAACTCACGCTCCGCAGGAGAGACTCTGCAAACTATGCAAGGCCAGACTGTCGGTCCGGTCTAAATATAAGGTTTGGGTATTCAAGCCTGACGTCTCGAGCTTAATGTAGACAATTCTGACCATCCATAAACGAGACGAACATAGCATAGTCCGATGGAAGCATCCAACACGGCTAAAGTTATAAACTTGCTGCTCCATCGTTTTGCAGGTGAGTTCGTTCGGGCACAGTATACTTTGCCTCGGATATCTTGTGGGCTGCAGTGTGCCCGATTTCAAGCATCGTGCGGCCATACAATAGCATCAGTCTGTTGGCTACGCAAGTTAAACTGTGCAGACCTGTGGATACCTTGTGGCTGCAGTGGATACCTTGTGGCTGCAGAGTGTGCTGAATTTTAGTAAGTGGGTGCAAAACAGTACTCTACTTGCCGATGTAATTTGCAGTCACAAAATTCCAGCTGATACTCTGCTGTTCCGGGTTCTCATGTATGGGGATAAGTGTCCACGACTGGGACATTTATCCCCATACTTATCCCAGTTATGGACACGTCAATTCTCTTTCCTTCTTCTGAGGTGAGAATCTGAGAAAGAGCAACACACATACGAGTGCTTTGTGACTCGGCCTTTCGGCGTTTCATCGTTTGCGTAAGAGCGTATTAGGAATGAGACCATTGTTCCCTTTACCATGCACGTAGAAAGCATGATGACAGAGAGAAGCTCGGGTAATCTACATAATATTGGGCACAGCCGAGTCCCTAAGCTAATCACATCCCTTCTGCGTACCTGTGTTGCGAAAATCCCACCCACTCATAACGTGGAAAGAGTTTCTGGGTACCCATTTGCTAAACGGATTCTCAAAGTGAAGTAATTTGATAACGCTGATGAAACTCGAGTTTCTAAGACGAAATAGATAGAGAACACAAAGAACTAAGAATCAATCGGTTTCTTATACAATCATCTTGGAGTTATACACATACAAGCTTAGGGGACTTTTCAAGACTTTTTGGGTCCAGCATCCACCTGCTTTTCGCTACAATCTTTCAGTGGGCACATGCCTCTTTTCGCTCATACCCTTACCATGATGGCCAAACTCTTATACAACCCTGGCCCAAACTGGTTCGTAAACCATGATATATCAAAGTGCAGGTGTTTATCTCCTTCGTATCACACAAATTCTGACCATTATAGGAACTTTCAGTTCATCATAGATCGCCAAACGTGTGACCAGAAACTTCTAATAGGGCAACAGGATCGAATCTATAAGCTCCTGCAAGGGTGCAAGCTCCTTCTTGTCCACCAATGAGAACTCCTGCAATCAAGATAGGCAAGGTTTATTTCTGAAACGGGAAATGTCCAGAACATGATACTCAATCAATTTGAAATGAGATGCGGAAGTCAACTCAGAGATAGTGCGACACCACGCCACAGAGACATAACAGACAATTCCAAGGTATGACGGACGGTACAACGAGCAGAAATCCCAAAGCCCTGACATGCAAAGCCCACCTCTTTACCATGATGACTGGAGACTACATGAATTGATTTCGAAAAAAAAAAATAAGTCTGAATTAATTTTGACTGCCGTGAGGCTTAGTTATCTTTGCTAGAAAGATGACGGTGGACAAGAAAATGGCATTCCTAAAGACAAAACCACAACATCAACGCATTATATCTGTGACCACAGGACATTGGGACACAAAACTGGACAGAGCAACAGAGTAATACACATCTACATATTCTTCTCACGTTGAAGGACATCGAGCAAGCAAGAAGCAACGGAAGAATGTGTTCCTATCGCTCGTTAAACAAAAAAGACTCGGTCTCGCCAACCCAAAAGTAGACCCCTGCGTGAGGTTTATCACCTAATACTGCCTGAACGCATAACTCTCCTAAGAGATAGTATTGCTTTCCAGGATCCTTTAGACTGGACATATTTCCCACCTGGGATCAAATAATTGGCATGAAAGATGAGAAAAATATGCAGAATCCATGTTCGGACTTACATAAGTAAAGAGTATGAAGTGCTTGAAGCAGGTGTTCAAATGTGCCTCTTCGTTGAGACTAACAATCTTCTGGAAATGCGAGTGGTAGATGTGAGCGTAGACTCGAAACAAACGCTTGAAAATGGTCTTAACCACCTCCTTGAAGTTAGCTGGAAAAGGTGCTCCTGAATCACAAAATTCATGTCCAGAAAAGTTTAATTGACGTTCTTCTTATCCAGTGGGAATCCAAATATCCTTGAAGAGAAATTGACGAGAGCATAACAAGCAGATGTACAAGCCGGAAGCAGTCACATCGCAGTGTGCAAGTGTCAAGGTGCGCAACATAGTCAAGGAGCTCTTCATTCTGCAACCACCAGTAATACTTGAAAAGGTGAAGCTAATCGGCTGCCAAAACTTAACTTCACTGGAAGCTAAATGTATGATGGGTTTCAGTAATTATACCAAGTTTTTGAGGAAAAATAGATTCATCGTCCAGCTGACCCTCAATCCAATCCATTAAATACTCTACATACTTCGGAGCCGAAACCTCCAAGGGTTTCTTGATTTGCACTCCATCCGCCCATCTGTATTCGTACCTATTTCACGAGATTCAACTTATTCAAAACCTACCTTCTGACATAATTAACCGACCTACATTGCATCAAACAGCATAAAACAGGCCGAATATTCATCGCAGCTGGATATGACTAGCAACATACTCTGCAGAATCGGCTACAGTAATTAACAATTACAACTGCCGTTTACAGATGTAGGATACAAACCAGATGTGCATTGAAAAAGGGGACAGCCAGTCAACATTAGCACTTACTTTGGTCCGGCAGACATTGTTGGGCAATTCTCAGGAGTACAAAACTCCGTCAGCGTGCCAAACAGAAGATTGACCTGATTGAAGAAATCAACAGCTGCAAACCGTTGACCAACATCCAAGTGTTCAGAAACATCATCAAAAGTAACATCACCGCAGCGTTATTTGAAACTAAGGACTTGTGACTAATGCATGGCTGAAACAAGACCTAATCTGTAACGTTCCAACAGAGTTACAAAGAGCCAATGACCGGTCGCTCCGGTTTCGAACCATATATGATTCGGGGGCGGCAGCCAAAAACCGCTCCCACTTCTTAGGAAGTTTGCACAAATCCTAAGAACTTTTCGACAGCTTTTTTTCAAGACTCCAGTTTTTAGGTTCAGGACAGTTTTCTCTCAGTAAGTCTCAAGAGCTGAAAAGAAACATGGCCTTCTCATTATTGCCATTTGAACCCTATAAAAAAGAAGAAAGCCGACACGAAACTCACTGTTGACTGCCAACCACTCATATAGATCTTCTCCAGGAGGAAGGCGCACGGCCTCCCTCAAGTTTCCACTTCCCAAAGTAGCATCGATGTGCTTACGTAACTGCGCCCCCTGTAAAGATGACGGAAACAAAAAACAAGAAAAAAACAAGAAAAAAAACAACGCAACACGGCACTTTTTAATATTGAAGGCTCCAATGTGGCATAACAAACCTACCAAAAGAAAACAACGTGAAGAAAAAAGCAGAATAAAGTGAGAAAGTGCTTGAAGGATAAAGAAAAAACCATGAACCAAGAGCACAGAGAGAGATACAAGGAAGATACGTTAACATCGGACTAGGTGCACTAAAGTATTTCACAATGTGCAATACCAGGATGCTGATTATACTGTTTGAAACTAACCAACAAAATAGATAATAAAAATAAAGAGATATACGCTGTCCTGCCGCAGCCTTTGGTGGCGGAGCTTAAGAGAGAGCAAGTCTGGAACTCAAACAAACCAAAATCAGAGATGCTTAAGTCGCTGGGACGCAGCAAGGACACATTTTGCACGAAGGCTTTTCTTACCTTACTGCCTGACGGGGTACTCTTTTTAGGGCGGAATGTCCGTTGATTCCTGCAATACAAGTATGCTGAAGCTATTAGAGAGCTCCTCGACATCAACCGACACTAATGGCGTATACTCTGCCCTCCACGCAAACACAAATCCACGCAAAACGGACTAGTGCCTCGCAGCCACAATTCTCCAAATGATCGTACAAAAGTCAATCCTCAAGACCAAGTGAAGCTCTAGTGTGTGGTGCAATGGCAAAATGGCAAAAGCTCACCTGCCCAGCCCAAAGAGGCTCATGGCGCGAAAGGCGGCCGTGTCGATAAACTGTAAGGGCCCACTCCGCACTGGAACTATGTAACCCCCACCCCGCTTCCCAGGCCTGATGCCCCTGCCTATACCAGAGACAGCTTCTTATCTCGTACTAAATCTCATATCTTTTTGCCCCAACCTGCCCAGCCCCGGCCCTGCGCCTGCGCCTCACCGCGTCGTCCCGATACAGTCGCGGAGAAGACAAGGAGCAGCAGGATGCAGTAGAAACCCTCAACCCTAGCGCGATCACCACGCGACCGCGCTCGATTCCACGAAAACTCACGCCGCGTTTCTGCTTCGCCCACTAGTCACCTCCTCCTCAGGCCCGATTCCGATCCCAATCCCAATTGCCTCCCCGTCACGCGTCTCGCCCCCGCCCCGGCACACCGACCACGTCGCGAGCAGCTCTCTACCAACTCGCACAATTCCCAAATTCCATCAGAATCCCGGCCGCCTCCCCCCAGACTTCACAACCTGCCCGCCCGACGACGACGAGCCTGCCCTCTCGATTCCAATCGCCCCAACTCAAATCTGCGCCTGCACCCTCCCTCAAATCACCTCGCGTCTCCGCCGCGCTTCCTCGTCCACAACATTTGCCTCTTCCGCTCGCAAGAATTGCTCGCACCACCACAACCAACAACAACAACAACAACAGATGCAGCAGAAGCAGCAGCCTCGAGCAGCGAGGCCAAAGCGCAACAACACCAACAGAACCTCGCACGGCGAAGATCGTGAAGGCAGAGAGAGAGAGGGACAGACAGACAGACAGACAGACCGACAGAGAGACAGAGGAACGAGAAGGAGACGAAGCCAAAGAAGTCTCGCGCTTTCTATACGGCCTCAAAGTCACTGCGCGCTTTTTTCCTTTCCGCCGATGCACTTCCCGATCGGGCTGATCGGACGGCTGCGGGATTTTCCAATATTCCGACTACTGACTGACCCTCCCCTACCTCTAGGAACAGTTCATAAATATCTTGTGGACAAACTTTGTGGTCGTTCATCCGCTGGATTGCTGCTGCTGCTGCTCCGCTATTTATAGCCCTCCTGCTTTTCTCCACTATCCTTTCCTTTCTGTATTTATTTCCTTCCCCGACGAGCAGTCAGTCCTTTTTGGCTTCCACGTGGGACGCTTTGTGTCATCATTTCTATTTCTTCCCGAGAGCTTCGATGATCCGTGCTCTCTCTCTCTCTCGTCAACAGACTCCACCTAAGACTCAATATATATTTCTACAATAAGAAGCTACATCCTCGATGAACACCTTTATGTTGCCTTCTCATTTCAGATGTTTCGGAAGCAACTTACGGTTTATCGGTATTTAAGGGGGGCGAGCCAAATTTTCATATGGTGTCGCTCTTGTCGGTGACATGACTCCATTTGGGAACTTGGTGAATAATGACAGAAATGTTCTTAGCTCTTGTCACTTTGACATATATACAAGATTACATTAGTTTCTTCTCTTGAGGATTAGTTATCGTTGTCTTGGTATCCTTCCTCGCCGTCAGAACTGTTATTCATCTGATGGTCGCCATTGTCCGACATGGATATACATTTTTCAGCTTGATATTCAAAGCTTTGACACTTTAGAAAGATCCCGCTTCCATGTTCATCGCTTTCCTGCCTATGTTTGATAAGTTAATTTGGAGCCAAAATCTGAGAAAGTGCAGCTTATAATAGCAAGTTGTAAGTCGATAACACTCACATGTAATTTTCAAGTTTCGTGGTACCTTAGAAGATTGTGGAAGATATAAAACAACAATATGATTATATAAGAATCAAGGTCGTAACATAAACAAAGATCGCCAAATATATTTCTTTCAGACTTATATTGAAAGAGACTCATGTAGCATAACATTGATCAAAGATCATATCTCATATTTTCTTCATAGATCCATATTCGTAATGATGATTTACACGAAAAAATTCATAACTATCAGGATAATAGACATACTCGGTTAAGCTTCCGCAGGATGATGTCCAGATGCAATCGCTTTTAAATACATTTGACACCATCTTTAAACAAGAAGATTCTACAATATCTACTTTAATTGTGACTTGAAGTGATAAAATGTGGTGATATTCACACAATGATACAATGATATATTCAGCAACTTTACAATTTATTATCTAAGCATACAAACAGTACAACAACAATAATAAAATCAAAGTTGAATTTCATAATTTAGACTATATGTTACACTTCATGTTTAAATACAACTTAAAAGTATTAGACAACAAATATTTTTGTCATAATAAACCATCATAATATCAAATTCAAAATTTTGCGTTGTGCATATTTTAACCTTAAAATATATTTTAACCTTAAAATATTATTTAAAAGGAAGATATATTCTTACTTGAAAAAAACTCATATTTGTTTCAGGAAAAAAAAGCCATTCACAATGAATTCTTTAGAAATTTATGAAACATAAAGGAATATACTGATTATTTATAAATAAATGATCATAATTTTTACATGACCTTGGTACTTTTCAACAATCATGAAATTTTATTACACATGATTAATAAACTTAAATATATCTCTTGTTTTATAAGATGATAACATATAAGCAAACAAAAACATTTTAGTATAAGAATATAATATCACTATTTCAAAAATATACATATATATATGAAATTAAATTAGATAATAGAATATATTTAGATTTTTATAGACTACTGTAAATCATTTTTTTTAATTTTTCTAATATGTATTTATGATAATCATTTTAAATGTATCCATTTTGAATTATTGAGATTTTTTGTGTTTATAATGTAGAAATATTTAATGACGTTATATTGTAAAAAAAATTAAAACATTTTCATAATTGAGAACATTAAAAAAGTTTGTTACACATCTTAGATTTAGAACCTGCAATAATTTGGCTTGGTAATATATATTCTTGTTGAAGAAGATCTATCCACTCTATTTTTGCCGTTTATGCTAGGTCATAGTTCAACTTATATCATATTATATTTCATATATGTATTTCATATGTGAATCTGATGTACATCTAATATATCATGGTTTTATCATTTACTTTAAAACAACATTTTCCTGTCAAAATATACAATAAAAATTATTTTAAGTTATATCAAAGAAAAAAAATGTGATAGATCTTTTACTATATTTAGTAAAAAAAACATAAATCTCTAGATTATGTCAAAGAAGCTTGTACTAATATTCTTGAAAAATAATTCTTTATGTAAAAAAATCATGATCAAACTAAGTTAAGACACATTTAAATTTTAACAACAAGTTTTTTCATACATCAAAATTTCAAATTCACATAAATTATTCATTGAAGCATAATTTTGCAATCAATATGCCATTAAAATAACAAAAATTGCTTTGATGCTATAATAAAATCTAAATGAAAAAATATATGGTATGTGTTAGATTTTAAAATAATTACAAAATGAATAAAAATAATATATCTATATACTTAATCATGTCAAAAATTTTGTTCAATATCATAATATCCAAAAAATATATTGTCGCATAAAACCAAAATTTTTTTCAAAAGATGATTTTGTAAACAAATATTTCGAAAACATATAATTTGAATGAAATACAATAAATATAAGCAATTTAAAAATATTATTTACTAAAAAAAGAATCTAAGAATTTATCACAATTTTTTGTAATCATTTTGAAAAATCATAATTCATAATTAAGAAAATTCAATATATCTGAAACCAAAAAAAATTAATTTACATGATTTTGAACAAAAGATGTAGTTAAATATCAAAATATAAAGAAATTTGTAAACCTATCAGTACAAAATAAGTATATACAAATCTAATACATATTGAGATTTTAATCATATTTTTCTTCATGGGTTTTAAATTTCAAACATAAAAAATGTTCAAGTTTTTTTAAAATTTTAGTTGAACATGAATTTTATTAGAAAACTATCATACTACTTATAACTTCTTATACATACGGACTAGTGCAATTACAGCACTTATAGTTGAGATTGAGATCAAGTGTTGGTAGTCTACTTATATTAAGTACTATTATGTTCAGGAGTTGTGATCCATTATAGGGATGTGTCCCACTGTAAGGGCGTGACCCACTATGGAGATGTGTTACTCAGTCTTCAACGCATACCTTGAACTCCCTCCGGATCGCGTATTTAAACTCAATCCGTGGACCAATGTTTATCAACAACTCTATATATTGAATACTTTCTTAAATTTTGTGTTGACTCTCACAATTGCATTGCTCTATTTTGCTAATATGGATCAGAATGGTTCTACTCTTTTTCAATGACGCTTGAATCAAGACAAACACGAAGGATGCTTCTTGTTTCGAATCAAATTTAAGCTACCTGTCAGAGCAATTCTTCGAGATCTTGAAATCCTGTCATGTTCCAAATTTCAACAAGCAAAGACCAAGACCATCTGAACCACCAAACCGGTATCTCTGTACCAAAATATCATGTTCGGCGCTATGCGTGTCAAATTTTCCAAAGAATTGTCAATGCTTATTAGAGCGTTGAGGGAGCCCGAATTGAAGAAATTTTTAAAATTTCACTTAGATTTTTCAAAAAATTCTTTCGGAAATTTTTCAAAAAATTTTGAAATTGGATTCAACGTTCTACACCACACCGTGAAGAATGTCAATCGGAGGAGACATTTTGAGGCAAATGAATTCTCGAGGAATTTCCATCCAAATTACATGTAAGTATCTACATTGATTTAATACTGAGCATTTGCAATCCAGGAAATATCATATAAGTTGAATATTTTGAGTTGAATGATTGACGGACGTAGTTGAAGGTACCGAGCTATGTTCGATCACTTCACCTGGTTCTAAAACCAGCACATCTTCGTCAGGCACAGAGAATAAGAAGTCATATGATAATAGAAACCTCACATTCTTGGCAATGTTGAATATTGTGCTAGAGCATCATCAACAGCTCCTAATCGCTCGCTATAGTATACGTGCAGAGGCTTAGACCGAGCTGACAAAGATATTCGAATCACGTCACCTACCGATGCAACTGCATCTAAGAAAATCATTGCATTCACTAAAAATGAAAATGAACGTGTCTGTGACGAAACACATCACGCAATTTTGTCTTTTTCTTGACCAGCTAGCTGCTGTAGTACAAATCATTCCAAACAGAGAAGCTTATACCTGTCTCTTTTGAAGTTAACCTATCAAATACTGTACCTTTGTGCGTTCAATGCGAACAAACTACGTTGTCTACACAATCCATCATAGCAAGTCTAATCCTTGAAGAAGCACACCTCAAAAAGTAAGAGCTAATTGACAAAATGGCAACGCTCTACACCACAAAGAGAAGAGTGTGGTCTACCTCCAAACAAAAGCTACAGCCAAGAAGATCCGATGAGATAGGTTTTTCATATTCATCACGACAAGAATTCTACATAGAAACTATCTTTTTCCCCACAAAAGATGAAATGATTCTATTGCGAAAAACTAATCCATCTAACAAACAAATGTCGGAAGAAGAAGCAAGAAAACTCTTCCACACATTCTAATGCAAATGTCGAGTAGCGGTTGTATGTCATCGCACTCTTCTCAATCGAGACAGATCCATCATTATACGTGGATTTGGATGTCATCCAACACATGGCATATACTCGAAATGCCTTTGTGTAATATAAGAGTTTATATATCTAGGCAACTACAATCGTCAACCCATTCGAGATAAAGGAAATGTAATCATTCCCTTAACTAATGGACAAAACATAGTAATACTTATGTACTACACATTCCTGCTCTCCGCAAGAAACTGTTCTCCATAGAATCAGCTAGTTCATTATTTATATTAGAATTTAATTATATTTTACTTCAGGGGTTTTAAATTTAAAATAGACAAGATGTTCAACCTTTTTTAAAATATCAGTTGAACATGAATTATAATCTGCAAAACTCAAATAATTTTATAGAGAAATTCATTTTTTTAAGAGGATTTCTTATATGAAATTTATTGCGTAATGATAATCTAAAATTTGCATACTTAAAATTTGGAAAAAACCTCATAATCTACATTCTTTAGGTTTAACTTAATTATTTATATTTATGATAATTTTGATTTTACATCTTCAATTCATAAAAAATATCAATAAGAAAATATTTTCAAAATAAAAATATTAAATTTTGCAAAGATTGATAATTATTTTGTGAAAATCATATTCTGTTTTAAAAATTTTGATTGTGAGAGTTTTTTCATATTGGTTGACGATAAACTTGATATACTGCTTAGATGATTCAAAATATTTTGAAAGAGCTAGATTTATTTGGAAAAATCATATTTTTTAAATTGAATCAAAGTACAAAAACTTTCTATTTGATCTTTAACATAAAAAATATTTACATGATTTAGATTTTTTTAAGATGAAAATAATTGAAATATTACATATCACTGATAATAAAAAATTTTATATTCTTATATTTTTATAAAAAAATTTAATGTATTTAATGTATTCCGTTGATAAAATTGAATTTGAAATTGTTTTTGAGTACCCAATTTTTGGCACATTATTCAACAAATCTATTTTAATCATATTGCATTCATGATTGGATATAAATATTTATTTCGTTAGATCCTTTCAGACAACATGATTTTTAATTTGACAAAAGCGTGTGATTTGAGTAAACTTCTGTCACTTTATTTTTTCAGGTGAGCAAATTTTTTATATAAAATAAGTTTTTATCAATGATAACGTAAGATGCACAAACAAGAAATTTAATTTGGACTAATTCAGTAATTTTGCAAAACTGATTGTGATTATAGTTGTAAGAAATTTGTGAAATAATAAAACATATGATGGCTACCGGTTGATTCTCAGAACATCAAGATACATGTAAAACTTTTCTTGGATTTGCTGCATTTCACTATGCTCTAATGATTAAAATTTATATGAATATGAAAAAAAAATTCATAAATTTTTTATGTGATCTTATGAACGTGTTTGATCTTATTATTTTATTTTCTTATCATCATCTTAGATCTAATATTTTGACCTAATATTGTGTGTCTTAATGTGTGTTTTCCAGATTTGAATATAATTTACCATCCCCATGATAGAAAATGAAATATTAGGCAGGGTAGAAACTAATCAATTCTATATGTTTTCCTTATGTAGAATTGTGTATTTAAGTTTTCATCATTCTGTTTTGAAACAAGCATAAAATCCGGTCTTCTAAAAATGTGATGGATGATCAATCCAATCATCAGAACTTTCCATAAATGCAATGCGTTTAAACTCTCAGGAACTATATTTTCTAAACAAGAGGTTTCATTCTCGCTTGGTACACCCATATGCATCTTAATTACTATATACATATAAGTAGTAGTGTAGTAGTATGTTAGATGCAGCATCTTATCGTATGATTTTAATGCGTATGGTTCGTAGAGCCAGGGGTAGGTAAGAGTGTGAAATGAGTTTGAGACTTGACTTATGCAGTCATACACATTTTCATTTCAGTAAGTGTAGCAGCTTAGATCGAACAAGGTACATGTGACTTGTTGCCCATTCAAAAGATTGAAAGAAGTTGAGAGTATGGATATGATACATAGAGCTAGTGTTGGTAAGTATTCGCATTCGAGTAATGACATACCTAGAATTGATTCAAAGATCCACATTACTATTTCAGAGAGATACTACAAATGTTATTGCTACGTAGGATGAGCGGAGATTCATCAACCAAGGAAGAGAAACTCCTTGTTAGCAATATGAAGCTATAAACGAAACGAAAACTTAAATTTTGAACTCTGTGGATGTTCTTTTAGTTTGTAGACGAATTAGCTCAGATAAAATGGATAACTAAGTTGCAGCGTGAATTTTCATGATTGGAATCCTATCCGGCCTTTTACAATCTTACAACCTTTGGGTTCATCCGTGGGCTACTTGAATGGTTCTTCCTATCCTTTCTCCTACAGATCGTGGACTTAGATTCGAAAAGTGATCAGTAGCATAGGATGAAGTCAACCTTCAGTAGATGGACTGGAAAAAGTACACCATCAGAAGTTTTATTCTTCACCGATTCGTTTCACTTTCTTTCCTAAGTATGGAAGCCTTTGAAATCAACATAGGTTCTCGGCTGCTAGGTCTGATCATTTTACTTGTAATGTAATGATGCACATGTCAGACACGAAAATTCCGCTACTGACAGATTATATATTCCTCTCTAGCCCATCTTGTATGTCGGAAACTCCCATGTTCCACACTTGCTCATCTTCTTATACTTAAGAGAGCAAAATTAACTGTTCAATAAGTAAAATCAATACCAGCATGTGGGACTAACCAGTTTAAGTAGGCTCATTCAACAGATATATCGGAGAAACAAAATCCATGTAATGATTTTATAAATTACTCTTTTTGCATGCATCTGATCCAAGTGACTGACAAAATCATTGTGCACTTCGATTTAGTTGCATGGAGTTCGGCACCTGTTTAACAACATAACATAACAAGTGCTCAGGAGCACTTGTTATGCATAAGAGTGCAAAATTGTAGAAGGTACGGAAGCACGAATCATCTGCAATTTCTTCCATCTAATCAATGAACTTCCTTCTCTTTTAATTTTCACACCCTCTTTGGACTTTGGGAAAGCAATTTTCTAATATATAAATTTGCCCATCCAACAAAACAAGATGACACCATATCCATGGCCAAAAGTTGCATGCACGAGAAGGTATCTGCAGTAATCTGCTCGTCTGAGATGTCCACAGTCTATTTGAAGAATAATATTCTGGTACGCACAGTCCTTGTGGATTGGTGAGATATAACTAAAGGTAGTCTAGTTGACTGGATCCTGACAATGACAACAACAAAAAGTTGACCTTTTTCATCATCATCTTACCTGTACAGTACAAGAAAGTCATAGCAATCTCCTGTTCTCAAACCACCTCTGTTGCTCACATCATCCGTCAAGGATGATGGAAAAGCTGGCAGAACATATCATCCAACATCAGAGTTCCTGAAGATGACAGTGCAACCATTTGGAAACTTTGGGTAGTTCTTGTACATCAAAGTTCGTTCGTACAATTTGCATACCCCTAGGCTTATCTACCCCTTTATAGGGCGAAAAGCGACTACAACCGATGTCTTCCATTATACTTATAAGCACTGCTGACAACCTCCATGTAGGAGCTATTCAATCTCCAGTAGAACGGTAGTAGCTAACATCCAGAATAGGGCTCTGTAGCTATTTACTTGTACTTTGAGACGTACGATAAACGTAGTCTAATATCTTTGATTCGTGTGAGTAAAACGTAACGCTTAATTGTTCTAAGACTTTAACATTTATCAACCGAGGCTTTCGGATGCATTATCTCTGATGATTGATGAAATTTATTTCAGAGTGCACTGGGTGACTATGGAATCGTGATGGCTTGATGGTTCAAAGTTTGTCATACATCCGCTACTACTCCAATACGTATTGATGATTCACTGATAATTCATTTCACACCACCCCTCACAAACCCAAGATTTTGGACCACACAACATCATCCATGTCAATGTCATTGATTACCATAGAGTTATGGAAACTTTACAGAATCTTCCTTTTAGAGGTGTGGACCTGGAGCTCAATCCAGGAAAGTAATTTTCACTAAGCACAGATGAAAGAGTACCCCAAATATAAGAACCCAATACGTACACTCCGAAGACGCATTTACGATCGGTAGTGTGTTGATGCGAAGAGTTGGAAGGCAGCTGTAAAGACTCTGACCATCCGTTATTTAACCGCTAGACTCGTGTGCAAATACCTTCAAAGTTTTGGAGGCCAGAAGTGAAATGTATACAAGCTTTTATTCTTTCCGAGTCTCGTGCATGTCCGGCCCTTGATGTGACTTCAAATGAAGAATTTTGGGCTAGGCTAGGCCAACGCTTTATAATAATTGTCACTGCACTACGTCACTGTGTCTTACTTTAGAAATCAATGTAACTGTTGAAGATCCAACAGTGAATTGGTGAATACTGCGATGCTATACGACATTGAGGAACTGATCTCTGGTACTACTACGTCCACCCACACTTTTTCACGTCGGAACAGTATCTTGAACTTGTCATTCTCAAGCTTGAGATGTACAATTTCGAGGCAAAATTACTATCACTGATAGAGACATAAAATGTATGTGACCTGTAGATCAAAATACAACAATTTGGAAATGCGTTGACTGATGTATGCCTACAAAAATACTTGTCAACCAAGTATATGAAAAGCAGGGAAGATCTTGAATACGAAGGAAGGAGACACAGAATAACTCCAACCTCCACTTTGGCTCACCCAATCTTCAACCCAGCGTAAAAACATAAATGCATCTCACTCAGACAAATAAAAGATCAACAGATCCTGTAAGCCCTGACTTTCACTAAAATAGCCAGGTTTGCCTTTTTCACTCCGAAATTAGATAGTGAAGGTGAACATGAAACACAACTGCGTGCTTTCCTTTGTCTGCTGCTACTGGTACATGTGTGTATCTTTATTCTCGTGAATAGTATACCTTTAAGAGCATAATTGACAATTCAGATGGCTGCTCTGCCTTCTACATGTTGGTGGATACTGAACAACGCAGGCAAGGATGAGTAACATGATGCATCCTTGTTTTCTCCAACCCCCAACCCATCTACATATGCATCTTTCTGTTCTCAGCTTGCTTCGTGAGAGACTCGACCATAGCCTCCCATGGTAGATGAAGGACTCAAGTAAGAGTGGAGACATTGAAGTACCCAGCAGCCCATCATCGCCTTGGAAAGTTTTGTAATGCTCCACCGGACACAGAGACGAAAAATAATGATCCCATCCCATCCCAGATTGTTGTACACAGAATTCTCTGTCATGCCGCATTTTCGTCTTTCATCTCTGGTCTGGTGTGACTTCAAAGGGTGTATCTTGTGTGCCAGGACATAAAGACCTGGCTGGAGTGGAGATCAACCCTAAAACAAGAAGTATTCAAATGCTCTTAGAGTTCTACCACACGGAAATGAAATAAATATATGACTTTTGAAAGCGCATCTTTGTCACGGGTCAAAGCCAGAACAATGGCATCTAACCTACCACATCTACTTTATCGAGTATTGTAGAGACTGACGCATCTTCATACTAAAAACACTCGCATTTGAAATATTTAGATATGACTTTAAACTTGGACAAAAATTTGTTGAAAACTCAACTATGTGGGCCATCACATCCAGGCCACAACTAATCCTTTACTACTCAATCCTCTGAGGCCAAGCAAGATCTCGACACACTTAGAAAAAAAAAGTCGTACCTTGGTCGAAGTCAGCATCGATTGGAAGTTGTGCATAAAGGAAACATCACGGAGCAACGCTCTTTACACACGATCCTTCACGATCTACTGGCTCAGTCATTCTTCAAAGAAATGCCCATGCATTTCTACATCTCTGAGATAATAGGGCACTTGCGGTTAGTGTATGCCCGTTGCCATTGTGATTAAACGCCAATACGAACTACACAAGTTTAACACTTCGTAACCAAAGCATTCATAAACAGCGTAATAAGACAACTGTGAAGGGGAGGGGACATTGAATACCAAGCTCATCGTCGACGACCATATCCGGCAGCAACTGGGCGCCTTTGGCGAGAATTGCCTGACCGAGGGGCTCCATCCCACCCTGCCTTAGCACCAGAACCCCTGCCAGCCATGTTTGGGGCAGATGGAGCTGACCAGTTCATAGGTTGCGGGGCAGCTCCACCTCTATCCTCTTCCTCCCTCTCATTATACTCCAAAACCAGCCGCTTGATGTCCTGCTTCTCCTCCAGCTCTGCTGCCTCCTTTTGCTTTGTGCTTTGGACCAGAGAACAATCACGAGGAATGTGCAACTGCCTGGTTTGTTGTTTATTGCCCTTCTTTACAAGTACACGGAACCTGACACTGTTACCTCCTTGCTCGTCAGGAACATCATCTCCACTCTCTCCGTCAGTTATCCGTCCATGATCTTTGCTACCCTCGAAAAGGTTCATGGGTATCATCATGTTCAGAGTTGGCCTTGCTCGCATCTCAAGCTTGCGAGAATCAATACTTTCCTGCATTAAGGCCCTAAACTCTCTCTCAAACTCTTCTGCTTCTGCAGGGTCCGCCTCGACAACTTTCTTCTGCTTCATTTTGACATGTTCTTCTTCCTCAGAACCGACCGCGTCTCCACTTACTTCTTCCTCCTCCTCATCATCACCATCATCGTCGTGCTCTGCGTACTTGTCCTCTTCCAACTCCTCCTCTTCTTCCTGCCCATCCGGCTCCATGCTACCACTTTCCGTTTCTGTGTCACTATCTCCATCATCAGGCAAGCTTGTTCCATTTTCAATTGGACTCATTGCTTCACCTGGACCCTGCTCAAGACCTCTTCCCTCTCGGCCACCCATTATTGTTGGTATTGCGATATCCATAGGGCCCTGCGAGTTCGTCTCGGGGTGGTGAGATCTTCCATTGCCTTGCTTTTCCGATATGTTCTTTTCCCGCTCCTCCAGTTCAAGAAGTGCTTGATTGGCTTCGTCGAAGGTCGAAAATCGAACCATTTTAGGCCGAAGGTCCGCAAACAAGTCCTGTGAGTGTGACAAGAGTATCACATGAATAGACTTGCTTCATGACTAAACAACTTTAAGCAACCTGACATACGCACGATGAATGAACTTGCAATGTTTTAAATAATGAAGGCTTTAGGAATTTTTGAACGTACTTGAAGGTCAAACTCTACGTCAAGAGGGATGACGCCTTTACTTAGGACGTATCTTTGAAAGTAAAGAAGGAACCGGTCTAGTCTTCTTTTTGAAGAACCACGATCAAAGAACTGCCCACAAGTTTCTAGCAGCGTGATGACCATGCGCAGACGGAAGCAGTCTTCTGGCGGATCTAGAGTATCTTGCTGTAAGTAATCGGACTTCCAAGTTAGCAATTGCACATGTATACACATGTATATTACACTGTAAATCTGAAGACAAACCAGAATCCAGAAGTGTAATTTATGGAAATCCAACACTCAAACACAGAGCACGTGCCGCCTAATGAACAATACAGAGAGGAAAAATAACACATATTAATCTAGACTTTCCATCCTAATCGCCAATTAGAGTTAAATGAGAAGCTGTGACGTAAGAACCTGGCATTCGAACAGTACCTCCGGAGTTCCGTAGCCAAAAAATATGATCAGATAAAGGGTATCAAAAATGACAGGCGAGTCAATCAACCGATAGCTGTAGAGCTCTCCGAGAAACCGCATGTATGCAATCCTCCTCTGTTGCATTCCGAAGTCATTCATTTCAAGACCAATCCTTATCTCCTCCAGTACCTGTGCACAGAGCAAAACAAATAACGGGACATTACTTGGGATATAAGTCACATCATAAAGACGAAATGTACACCTCCCCAGACCTATCCTTGACTACTGAAAATTCAAGCAAAGTATACTTCTTGAAAACGGTAATTTTCTAAGCTAGAACTAGCGCAACGATGTCGAACAAAATGGGATCCATTTGACATTGATAGGATTGTGTTTCGAATAAAAACTAAACAACAGACAAGACAGCTCATATGCATTCTCATAAAGGTCAGCGTACCTCATCGACTACAGAAACGGCAAACCCATCATGATATCGACTAAGACCTGCGGTCAAAGACGCAATCAAGTGCACTTGGCTGTATTTCCCCTTGTAGACCTTCATGAAACACTTCAAAAGGTAAGGCTCGCTCTCATTCCAAGGAAGCTTGCGGAGCTGCCTCAGCACGCGCTCTATTGAAGACTTGTCTAGATCTGTGAAGAGCAGTTTGCGTATGTACTGCACACATCCAAGTATCCAGATTTTAGTCAGGCTTATTGATACACAAGGTGGTAGCACTTACCCTTGAGATGCAAATACGTCTCCTAGGTAAGTAACTACGATATACTAATTCATCAGTAGCTTGAGACAGACTTGAGCTTCTTTGGAGTGTATATAGACAAAGATACCTTTGCCGCACAACAACGTCCAAAAGGTTTGTTCAACACTTTCAAAGTAACAACTAGGAACAGTTTGCAACAAACTATGCACCTAGGAGCCTACACGTCACTAGCATATCAAGTGAATCCCAAATATGCACAAGTGTCTTGCTCATTAAAACCGAAAACAGATCATGACCTGGTGTAAAGGTGGCCGGACTTTAGAAACTCTTGCTGATCTTTCCGGTGGTTTACACTGGTAATACGCATTCTCAACAAGTGTGCTGTGACGAGCATCAAGATTCTTGACGTTCTTGAGTCGCATAATAATCTCAAGCATGTTACCCATCCTAAGGGAGGTTTCTGTTGATCGATACAGGAAACGTCCACATGTCTCCAGCAAGTTGCAAGCAACATCGATATTATGATGTGTGAAATCATCCAGGCAACACTGTATGACACATGCAATCGTCATTAGAAACAAGCACTTGTATGTCATCTCAGGAGGTATATATATACAGACCGAAGAGAAAATATAAGATCTTGTGAAAAAGAGAGTTACTGTAATGAGTGAAATTCTGGGGAGGTTAGATCCTCTCACCTTGAGGCAGCTGAAGATAAGTCCAGGAGGGGCAACTTTGAATTTGGCGAGCTCTCCTAGAAATCTGATGTTTCTGATCTTTGTTTCAATATTCATTTGATCCTGCGAGGTATGGGACAACCTTCTGGTTGATAATCATGACATGCAAATGCATGAGAAACAAACTAGTGGACCTTCAGTTATGTGAAGACCGTTGAATCTTATGGTACCCGTGAATATAGACGGAGCTTTTCTTCACACAGAAGTAATGATATGGTCCTGTTTCATGTCTCCATGACTGGCAAAAACTACTAGTCAGAAAGAAAAAAAGTGTTACCTTTTTAGTCATCAAAAAATTGAACTCTTCTTCAAGCCATTGTAAAATCATTGGGGCAACGTCTTTCATACATGTCGAGAGTGTTGCAATCATCCTTGAATAATAAGGAATCAATTCCAGGGAGGTACGTGGCACAGTATACAGTGCCCTAACCAGCTTTTTACGATTGCTTTTCGAGTTCAAGTAGCAGAAGTCAACCTGCAATGAAGAGGTAATCACAGAAAGAAAATTGTATACGTCACGACCACCTTGCCTCCACTTCACTTAAAGTAACCCAGCGAACCATTTCTTTGCTAGGAGACTAAAGTATGAACCATTGACTACCAAAAAAATACAAATAAAAGAATCACCATATGATGAAGTGCACGTATAAGCATAATCTATACACAACAGAACTAGCCCTCCAATCTTCAGCTAGAGGCATATTGTGTAGTAAACTTACAGTGAGTTGATCTATAAGATCGCGGCTTACACATCCAGGAAGCCGCTGTAGAAGACTGTCCAGACTGGCGCCCTCAAGTCCCTTGATTCTTTCTTTCTCACAGTCTTTGTCTCCTTTCTTCTCACCGTCTCTTTCCCTAGACTTGTCTTTATCCGCCTCTTTTCCTCTATCTTTCTCATCCTTCTCCTTGTCCTTGACGGCTGGAGAGGTCTTCTCGTCGGACGTGTAGAAAGGTGTCTCTGAGCTCTCAGGTTTCTGTCCTATATCTGAAACATCAATGACCAGGGTTCCGGCAGAGGTTGTTTGCTCTGAGTCACCACGACTATCCTGCAACGATTCATGGACGGTGCTTGATGTCAGCTTTATGACTCTTCATACTCCAAGTAAGGCACAAGATCTGCGATATTATAAAGGTACGGGTAGATACATTCATACCAACATGATCAACCAAAAGGACGAAGCATATACAGTAACGTATGGCAAACACCAGAGGGGTACGATCCGTAGAGGTTCTTCACATATTCATGGAAAAAGATACAGGCACATACATGGCAAAAGGTGTACATAAGCTAGGCATAGCATGGTGCTGAATGGTTCGACAGCACATCACAGAGAACGCCTTAGTAACGTGAGAGAACCATGAAAGCAACGATACATGCCATAGATGCAGACAACAAAGACAACATGACAGAAAGGCAAATACTTGAAAGAGACAATTGTACAGTACAGATACTCTTTTCCGGTGTGAGAAGAGGAACCACGCATCATAAACAATATCTACCCGACGGGTATCACACCATCGTCACATAATCGTGGCTGGGGTAAAGTGATAAGTGGTAGACATATAGATAGCTAGACCAAGTACAAGTACTCAGCACGGGCCATGGGGGCTCCATGTATAATTGTAGGGGTGGATATAGTTCAAGCACCATTGTTTCTGATTTTTACCCGGAAAAAAGTCTACATATATGCCTCGGCTGTATACAGATGGTAAAGAACTTTTGTGTTCGCAAAACAGTCTAACTCACATCTCCACAATAACGAGACAACACTCAAGAAGATACGGACAAGAGAGCATGCCTGATGTTCAGTTGATTTGTGACTCTGTGAATCGCCTTTTTGCTCAGCTTCTCCAAGCAAAACTGCTGGGACGAAAGCTCTGTGCAACGAATGGTCAAGAGAATCAAGATCTTTATTTCACGAATCAGTGTTGTTGAAATTAGAAGAAATCAGCCTGATATTTTACAGCTGCATGTTACATGTACATACACCATGGTCCTGGTTTTTAAGAATGAGTACCGCAGATCTGGCAAGCTTTCGTAAAAGGATCTCGTGTCCTCATCATCCCAAACTGGCTCTGGGCCGTTCAGATCTTTTCCTACGAAAGCGGAGGCTCCATCGTCACCCGATGTTACTCGAGTTGTGTGTCCATCCTCCGGCATGACTGGCGGTTGGATGTCAAGGGCCTCAGCTAGCCTGATTTCATGCCCAAAATCCAACAACGAATTTAGAATGGTAGGTACATCTTAAGGAAGAACATAACCTTATCTCATAATAATTTTTGTAATTATAATCTACGATAAGCTCTGCTCCAATCAGCCAAGTTGGCTTTCAGACCTCATCTCTAGACCGTTCAATTCGCAAAAAAATAATATTCATAATTGCTCCTGCATTTTATAATGAAATTTCGGGGGAGAAGACTCACGCAGATATGTTCCTGAACAAGTGCTCGTAGGATTTCCGCAATTTTTCATAAGCAGCAGCATTTTCTTCACTCAGTTCGCCTTTGACATTAAGCATCCGCGCATTTTCTTGTTCCAGAAGCCTCAATGACTGCGAAGGAAAAGCAAAAACCTAAATTACTTCTAGCTTCCAGAGGTACTTGAGAGACCCGTGATATCCAAATGAGTATAAAAGCATGGAACTACGTTAAGAACAGGCAAAACAGAATCCCTGAATAAAAAACAAAACTACTAAGTGGAAACATACCCCATGTTCTGATTGTAGCAAATCTACAGCAACATCAAAAAAGGACTGAAACAATTTGCGGAAGTGTTTCTTCTGTTCAGCAGTCACGCTAAGCTCCTTGTAGATCTGCGTCACAGTAATGAAAAGAAGAAACGAGGCAAGAATGAGTTTCAGTAAAGATCTAATGCTCCTCCGATATAATTCTCATCAAAACCGACTTGCAATGATTGCCAAAGATTCCATGGTGAGCAGAAGAAGGGCTGAGATTGTCGCTGCCTTCTACAATATCTGGAAAAAATTAATCTGTAAAGACAAGTCCACTTGCTACCAATCAATTGAAAAAGGTCATCTTGCATGACTCACCTCTTCTTGGACATCATGATTACCCAGAGGAAGTCCTAAGAGAACGCGAGCTTGACGAGCAAAACTCACGAGCAATGACAAGTTCATTTGTGCGACTTCGCGATCCTTGAGATGATCGGCGCTAGTTAGGTCTTTGATGATGGTGACAAAGATTCCGGCATCTTCAAAAACACCACAAAAGTAGAGTTCTACAAGAAGTCTGAGAGTGCTTCTCCTCCTCATTGCTCTCTGGCCCCGATCAGTTTCTACGTCATCGGCTGTCTTTCCCGGGAAAAACATCTTCACCAGACCTTGAATAAGATTTGGAGAAAAATCTTTATATCTTTGATGAAGTAACGAGCAAACCTGTAAAACAGAATCCGGCCCAAGAGTAAACGTCATAAATAAATTCCAACTCTGTCGTCTGAGAACTTCTCCGTAGAAAAATAGGCTCATGATTAGAAAGCAAATTACAGGAGATGCGACCTTTTTTCTCTAAAAACTACACTCGGCCACTTGTCATGAAGTGTAAAACATCCCTTCGACCTAGTTATAGTTTGAAACATTAAAAAACTGCTGGTTAGATGGTTCGCTCCTCCGCATCCCCGTCTAATCAAAAGCTGCACGTACCACATATGGACATTACCTGAACTGCTGCATTTATGTCAGACGTCCTCAACTTGGCGTCACAAATTGCAGTAACTGCTTCTGTGACAAATTTGCTCAAATTTACAGATCTCAATTCTTCTAGCAACCCTTCCTGCTGCTCCTCATTTATCTGCTTCAACTTCTTGATCACAGCGGTGTTACGCTTAATCGCGGAATCAAGGGTTCTCAAAAAGGCGGCATCTGCGTTAACATTGTCAGCCCACTTCGACGGTTCAGTGACATGGAAGGTTTGAGAGATACATGTTCCAGCACACGGCCACAGCCAATCGGTTTGTGAGGCTTTGACAGACCAATTGGACTGGTTCGACACTGAATTCCATACCCTTTGGGCATTCCTGCGGGGTGGTATAGAAGGAAAACGTCTCGTGCTTGTCACAAATTAAAATCCTAGTAAATTCATGAATGTGAATAAATAGGCCACGCATACCGGGCCTTTCAGGTGACAAATTGACATGCCGCAACGATAGCTTCATATCCGCCGCCTTTTTCATTTCTTCCAGCCGGAGCTGAGTGTCCTGCACATAGAACACACATCCGAAAAAAGTCAACCCCTAACTTTAGCAAGTCCGCCCAGAAATGCTTGATGATCGTTCCTGACTTGAGAGAAAAGCCAGAGCCCATATAATGATCTGGCCGCTGGTGATGTTACGAGCTTTACAAACTGCAGAAAGAAAAGTTCGACACTAGCACCGGGACGTGAAGCACAAGGGCGGCAGGCTTCACTCTGGCTGTGAAAATCCACTCCAACGCAACTTAGAAATTGCAATCCCTTCCTGACCTCGGACAGCCATACTACGAGTCTTTTCTACAGCATTAAACATCTGCAGCTCAAAACCTGGAACGATAAAAACAAACTTACCCTTTTCTGATCATCCTGCCCGCCGGAGAATGGCTCCATTTTGCCCTCACTGGTTCGGGCTACCCTGTTGACCTATACTGATTGCCTCACGTCGTCTATCCCATTCGACAAACTTCGAACATCCTCACCTCCCACACTGAACTGCCGCCCCAAAACCGGGATTGAACAGGTTCTAATTGAACAGAGCCACAGTTCGTCAGATCGAGAATTTCACAGTGAGCTCTGACTCCGGGCCGATGAAGACTGCAACCACAAAAGCCGGTCGACTTCTCTCCGTGTGACTGCTCCAAAGCGATGATCTACAACCCCTTCCCCTTCTCCTCCTCCCTCTGCGAGCAAACCCTCTTCTTCTTCCACCTGGGTTCACCTCCTCCCTTCTCGCCCGTCATAGTCAGTCGTCCACTTCCCTGGCCTCGCCTCACCTTGCTTCGCTAATTTCGACGTGGCGGAATGGCTGCTCTCCAGCGCTCCACTCTCCACCGCCTCTCTCCCCTCGCGCTCTCTCTCTCTCTCCTCTCTCTGCTTCTCCCTCACTCACTCTCCCGTTGATCTGCTGCCGCGCATCTCCATCAACCTCCGCGTCGGAAGATTACAAAACGGGGCATCTGCTCTGGACACGAAGCCCTGCAGTCAGCAGCAGCAGCAGCAGCAGGAGGCATACGTCCAGGTCGCATGCAGAGATCGCTATCCCCTTCGGGCCTCGGGCTGTACGCTCCATCGCTGCGGCCTACAGTTGAGAGGAGCTTTCTTGCAAACCATCGCTCCCGGGCTCTCCGCTCCGCTATCGCGACGACGACGGCCCCCGTCCGTCCCGTCCACCAGGGCCACTCGCGATCGCGCAGTCAACGTCTGTATGTTGGTTTTGGTTGCTGTCCTGGACTCCACGGACTCCGGATGACCTCCGATCTGGCATTTCCCGTGCTGACTCAGCGCTCCCCCCATCCTGCCCCGACTTTTTACCTCCTTTGTCGTCTTCCGGGGGTCATAGACTTACCTTCGGCCATAGACTTTTTTTCATGTGCTTCATTGAAACCCACGGGCAATTCGTAATATAATTTCCATCAAGCCTTGTGGTCAGGATTACCCAGGTTGAGAGCAAGAGCAGTTTTCCGTCCCTCCGCTTTGTTGGATTGAGGTTTACAGTAGCGTTGATCGTGACACCTTCTTCAGCCAGTTCTACCACTTCAACTCCAGGGTTGTGTTTGGGTCCGTGTCGACCTCACAACCACAGTTCAATGCATTGTAGTATGATCAGGGGAGTCTCCATAGGAAGCCACGAAGGTGGTTCATTTGCTTACAAACAAAAGCTTCCTATACACCCTTGCTGCAACCCAAAATCTCAAGACCAATAGCAGCCTTCAAAAGCCCATCTTTCTTGCAATCTTATATTTGTTAGTAGCAACGAAAGACGATACGACATGAAATTTGAAGATTCAACTCTTGGAAGTGAGAAGAAACTGGTAGAAATGCGAGGTGAAGCTGAGAAGCGCAGAAGCAATCAACTTGCTATCCGGCCTTCCACTTTCATTGTTCTTCTTCGGGAGGCGAGATGTCTATGCGCTACGAGCACCAGGATTTTTCAGACTTGACGAAAATAAACACATGCCTATTTACTCGTCTTGGACAGTGGAACATCCGTTAGAATGGAAAGGATTTCCGACACACCTTCTCAACTTCGAAGGTAGCTGTCCCGCAGTATGTTTCCACTCTTTCAACTAACCCTAATGCCAAAGGCGGTGTCTGTAAGAAGGCCGCTCTTCTTGCTGGCGGCATATAGTCACGATCGATGTACTAGGATGATGTGAAGTACTTTGAGTCTCCAATGTTATCGGGCCACAATTCCACATCACGTAAAAACAATATTGGATAAGTGATCAGAGGTGAAGTCCTGGGACCACGACTTACATGTATTCGAGTTTAAAGTATCTGTGATTGCGCCTGACAATGAGTTATCGTTCAAATATCTGGACGTACAGTTTCAAGAATCCAACAGTTAAATTAGTATGGACCCGATGGAGTGGTTCCTCCGTGGAGGAAAATTTGTGCAGAAACTTATTACCGAAAATAGGACTCAGTCACAAGACTCAGAGTACAAGCTCAAACGCTCTCATATCATAAGGGATTGCAGGAGGATGTACTCGCAGTGTCTTCAAGCTTTGTAACTTTCCTAGTTCAGTGGGTAAACCTTAAGACAAGTTGTTCCGATGAAAGCATTTCTGAAAAGTTGGTAAACATCTCAAGTAAGTTCGAATTTGAAGGCACTTCTGCTTTTGCACAAAAAATTTGCTTTGAAGAAATCACAGACACAGAGAGCGAGAGTCACCCCTCGAAGTCCGAATTGCCGTGCAAGTGCGTGCACTGTCGAATCACTTTACGAGTATTAATCCGGAATTTAACCGTCCTGTCGATTGAGGTCCTCAGGGGATGCATGATTTTAAATAACGTTGTATTATAACATTATATCAATTTTTATGATTAAATTACACACAACTTTTAGTTAACAAATCACATAAAAATATTAATAATAAAAAAAATCAATGCTAAATCATACAATAAATTATTTAAAAAAAACCCAACATTTACATTTGAAGATAATAAGTCTATAATTTTGTTTTCTAACATAACATAAAGCTTCTACGCTGAGTTTTGCGTCAATCTTGTTATAATACACATTTTAATTGAACTGTGTGTTAATAATAAGAAGCAAAATTTTCAGAATTTTAGAATTTTAATTGTCTCGTGACACAAGCAAGTGTTTTTCATCATGTTTTTGTGTGTTTCATGTACATAGAGTCAAATCACATATTAAATAGGTGAATTCATATCATTCTAAATATAAATAAAGTTTTTAACTTCTATATTTATAAAAAAACTACACTTTGATATCACAATCATGTGAAAGAAATACAATATAAGACTATGAAGGGATTTGTAATCATTAGATACAAATAATTTGAAATAATAAAAATAATAATTATATGAATAAGTATATAATGAAAGTTGAAATATCAACAAGATACATTGTTCAAAATATTTTATTTTATTTTTGAATATGATATTTGATGGCATTCAAATATATGAAATAAAATCGAAAAGTTGGAGTAAATCTACAATTTTGAGATATTATATTATAATGCACATTAATATAAAAATATAATCATAGTCAACAATTAATTGGAATATTTTTAGAATTCAAATAATGAAAATTATATATATTAAAAGTAAAATTTATTTGTTTAGAAATAATAAAAAAATATATATATAATAAAACAGAAATCTAATATTTGCATAGAAAATATACCATCAACTTCAGAATCATTCAATCAGTTGAATAAACTCAGTTTATAACATGAGATTAAAAACTCTTGAATTTTGTTTATTATTTAATACTTTATAGGTACATGAATATGTACACACAATATTGTAGATTATCATGATCAAGGTTTAACTTGATATTGCATCATTTAAATTAACTAATATTATTTTGAATTAATTAAAACTAAATTTCATAATTTTACATGTTTATGAAGTCAAACAAGTAGTTTATAACTTCGATTGTATAATAAAAAAAAATTAAATATTATTCTAAATCTTTTTTAAAATTCTGAGTTCTCTTTTGATAGTTGGATATCAAACTAACAAATATGATTATTTGAAAGATAGATTTAGATTTTTGATTAAGGATTTCATTTGTGTATATCTTTTAATAGCAAAACAAACTCTAAATTCAATTTAATTTTGATTAATATATAGAAATTGTATGATGAATAGAATATGTTAGAGTGTAATCTTCTTGAGATTTATTTTACTTATGAAACGAAATCTATGAAAATTTGTTTAATATAGAAAAATATCAATATTTTCACCTAGCTTTGGAATTTTCAAAATTTTGTTTAAATTTTTATTTTAGAAAAGAAAATGGATTTAATTTTTTGATTTGTTGATTTTATTATACAAATGAAATCAAAATATGTAATATTCTAACATTTTTTAAAATTTAAAAATTGAATCAAGTAATTTTCATTTTTTGACTCAAGATTTAACAACATTCAAACGGAAAAGTTTGTAATATTTGTTTATATTTCACGTAAATTTTAATTTTTGTTTTACATTTATTTAAGTTAGTTTTAAACACATTAAAAAATATTAATAGTATATGAAAACTTGTTAATCATAATTTTTTTGAATTTAAATTTTAAGCATTTTGAAATACCCCATGCAGTATGTACAGTAATTGATGTGTAGAGTACTATCTTGAATTAAAAGACCAGCAAATTGAATTTAACGAGGAGAAATTTGGACGTTTTGTTTTACACTAAGTGGATTGATAACTATTGTGAGTGTAGGGTTTAACTAAACACATGTAATTTTATTTATGTTTTAAAAAAAATTCAAAAAATTGTGCATGTCATTAAAACCTTTTTTTTTTAACTTTAATAAAGAACAAATCTGGAAACTGTTTGTTAAGTTGAGCAAATATATTTTAATAAACGATTTTGTAACAGATTATCTTTTACTTTTAAACCCTATCTTTTACTTTTAGGTTATAGAAACTAGTTGAAATGTTCTAAATTTAGCTAATAGTAAATATTTTTTGAAGTATTAAAATTACTATAAAAATATTTTTTAAACGAATCTAGCATAAGATAAAAAGTCACATACAAAATTTGATGGATACAACATAATTCATCCTTGTACACATTATAACAATCGATTTAGATGGAGTATTGTTTTACACAATTAACTTTCAATCTATTATTAAACATGGCAAATATATCTTATGGATTTGAATCGTCTGTCATTAAATTATACAGACGTTTAATTATAAAAATGTTTATAATGATATATTGTTTTGATCAAAGCACTAAGATATTAAATCTCCTAAATTTATGTCAATATCATCATACAAAATTAACTTATATTTTTATATTAACAACAATAATCACAGTCGTCCAAGATTTGATTTTTTTTTGCAAGATTATAATTGTTTCCATCATTTTCAAAATTGATGTCAAAAGTGCGCAAATCAGATTATTTGGAACGAAGGAATATATATATATATGTATATCCATATGAATTAATATGCACAATTTATTACAAACTTATTCGTAATAGATTGTGCATGTTAATTCATATTTGCATATGTTTACACATCAAAATATTTGTTACACAAACTTTTATATCTTAATATAATAATATTTTATATTTACTTATTTTACAGCAATGTTTAAATAAGATTAAATTGACTTTATCAAGTTTCTCTTTGAATTAGAAAAATTATAACGAAATTTCATCCAAGTTTGTTCAATATCAATTTTAAAATAGAAATAGAAATCAAAATATAATTATCTCTACAAACATTTCACATTCCATATTTAAAAAAAAATATATGAATATTTAGTGACTAATATCATTTGTGTAGAAATTGCTTTTCTTTCTATGTGTAAATATTATAATATTTTTTTCAATGATATTAGTTTAACAATATTTTGAGGATTATTAATCATTCTATTTGCATATATAAGATAGCCAATTGCAAAATGGAAAATTAAAATCATTACTTCTAAAAAAACGCTTTCGTTATTTTTTGGTGCTTATATTGATATTAACAGTAACAAGAATAAATTCAAAATCTATTTACATTCTATATTCGTCACTAAGTTACCTTGTATCGTTGTATAATCTTATATTTAAAGGTGAACTTTTTCTTGTTTCAATTTTGATGTTCATAGATCTAAATCCAAATAATTTTCAGAAATTGCAATTCCTATAATTGAATTTAAATATTCAAATATAAAATTTTGAATATTTAAAGTG